CCCATTTTCCCTGCTCCTCAGTCTGTGGCAATCATCCATCCACCATTCTACTTTGTTTCATACAGTATTTGTCTTTTTTGTGACTGGCTTATTTCACTTAGTATAATGTCCTCAGGTTTCACCCATGTTGTAGCATGTGTCCGAATTTCCTTTTTAAGGCCAGGTAATATTCCATCGTATGTGTATACCGCATTTTGTTCATTCATCTCTTGTTGGACACTTGGGTTGCTTCCACCTCTTGGTCGTTGTGAATAATGCTGCTAAAAACATTGGTATACAAATATCTCTTCAAGGCTCTGTTTTGAATTCTTCTGGGTATATACCCAAAATAAATCGCTGGATCATAAAATAATGCTATTTTTAATTTTTGAGGAACTGCCATACTACTTCCCACAGCAGCTGTACTGTTTTAGATTCTGACCGAGAGGGTGCAGAAATTCCAATTACTCCACATCCTTGCCAGCACTTGTTCTTTTCTTTTTTTTTGTAGTAGCCATTCTCTACTGAGGACAGTAGAGTTTTTTGAATATTGAAGATAGTCTTTTCTAATAATCTCTGTTTTAAACAACTGCGTTTAAGGCAATTTCTCAGCTTTTTCTCCATGTTTCAGCCAGATGGGAGCTATTTGCCTTTCTTATTTTTCTTCCCTTTCTCCTCTTTCAATTTCTCTTTCTCCTTCTTTGTGACTCGCAATACTTACCTTTTCCTGGGCTCACCTCAGGGATGAGAGACTGTTTCATAATTCCCTGGTGTGTCATACCACTGTGGCTTTCTCATAGTAGACCCCATATAAATCTTCACAGATAAATATATTGGAAATAAGGCTGTCACCTGAAGTGAAATATGCAAGAGGCCTACTGTCCTGCCCTCAGATGCTAATAGAATACACTATATATTGCACTGTTATTATGATGATTCTACTACCTGAGGGCTGATGGCTCCACCTGGGGCTTTTCCAGCACCTTAGACACCCAGACTCTTGTATATTGTCAAAACTCTCTCACTAGATTGTAAGCACCATTGACAGCAGGCACCCTTAAAGCCACCTCTTTCCAATCCCTAGTATTATGTTTTGAGATAATATGTTAAATGCCATCAGACAGTGAAGATTAAACCTTGGGTCAAGCCCAGTGGAGACCTGAGAATCAGGAAGGCTGTGGAGAGGAACGTAACCTCCACGGCTAAGGAGACTTCTGTTTAGCTCCCTGGTCTACACCGGGGCTCCTAGAACTGTGCTCAACCCAGTAGGCGCTCAATAAATGTTAGAGCATGGATCATGTCTGAGTACAAAGAGACAAGGAACCCCTGAGCGAAGCAGACAGGGCTCTGGGGACAATGGGGCCCCGTGCTGGGCCGGGGAGGAGATCAATGCTAAGAGCTTTTAGGCAGCAGGCTGCGACACCATCCCTTGGCACGTGCAGCCCAGCCCAGCCCAGCCCTGGCACCGAGCCAGGTCCACAAGTGCGCGGTGCAGGCCCGCTGTGCTGGCAGGAAAAGGGCCGTTGGCACGCTCTGGCTGGCTTCCTTCAAATCGGAACGATTCTCCCGAGACCCAATCAGAACGCCGGCTCTTTCCTTCTGCCACGCGCTACCCAATGACCATGCACGGGAGGGAGAAGGGCATGAAACACAATGGCGCCATGATCCTTAAGGGCAAAGTATATACCTATCCGGGACTGCGCAGAGCACCTCGTACAGGAACACCGTGCGGCCGACCCTTGGACACCTAGGCGCGACCAAAGAAACTCAGCCCTCCCTTTGTTTCCCTTTTTGTGACATAGAGACCATTCGGCCTCGGTCCAGAAGCGCCTGAGAGCATGTCTCGTTGGAGAGGGTCTCCTTTTCGAGGGTTCAGGAGGCTGTACCTCACCCTTTGAGAGGAAGCACCTTCTCTAGGCTCCATCCTCTCCCCCTGGATTTGTGCGCGGTTGTCCCTTTCCCCCCAAGATTTGCAAGCCCCAAACCCACCCTCATCTCCCGAACAGAGAGAAAGGAGGAGGCTTGGAGGCCGGAGGCCGAGGATCCCGAGGAGGGGGCGAGGCGCCCAATATCTGGGATGGGGCAGAAAGGAGAGCTGAGCTGGAAATCAGCCTCTTGGGAGCTAGACGGAGTTGCCCTTTTTCTTGGCAGCCCCACTTATCCCGCACCTGCATTCCGCCCATCTCTTTAAAGACCTCAGTTGGTAAGAATCCTCTGAGTCTTCTCTTCCAAAGTTCTCTTTCCTGGACCTGGAGTCTTCCTTAAGTTCAAAGGTAGCTAGCTGGTTCGCTGGTCCCGATTGGGGGTATGGGGTGTGGTGGCCTTATTGGAGGTGGAGGTCTTCTGCCTTCTTTCTGCTGAGTACCTAGAGCATTGCCGTCCAAAATAGGTTTCTTCAATTATGGGAATGTTTTATATCTGTGCTGTCAAAATGAGAAGCCACTAGCTGCCACAGATGGCTCTTTAGCACTTGAAATGTGACTAATCTACCTGAGGAAGTGAATTTTAAATTTTCATTAATTTAAGCCTAAAGGATCTGAATACTATATTTCTACTGGCCTTGGATAGGGGCCAGAGTTGACTTAGTCACCTTTGTTAGCCTGCCCTTGTCTCTCAGGGTAGCATAACCTGTCATTTGAAGCTGCTTAGAGCACTCTTTATATAAAAAGTTTGATAACTTCCCACTTCCAATTAGAATGGAAACAGGTATTTTGGGATGCTCAAAAGGCACCGAGGTCTCAATTTTTTGAGACATGTTTGCTCTGAAATGCCCACATTTAAGGCCTTTAACCAGGAAGAGGTGCCAGCTTACTTAGAAGACCCAAGTGAGGAACAAAAAAATAGAATTTTTTCAAAAGTGGGAAACTTCTTAAAAGCAACAAATGAACAGGACAAACAGAGACTCATGGACGTGGACAATGAACTAGTGGTTACCCGAGGGGAGAGGGAAAATAAAAAAATAACATATTTAAAAAATGGAAAACTTCTGCCTGAGCTAAGTGTGGCATTGAAGAATTCAAACTTAGACGCTTATGCCTTGGATTAACAGGCATTTGGTCTCAGGTGCTGCTCCATCCCCATAAACAACTGCCTGGTTCCAGGAGAAAGATAGCTATGGTGATTCAAAACACCCTAAATCTTAGGTTCCACTTCTCTTGTCTCTGTAGAAAGTAAGAGTAAGAAGAAAAGAAGAGCCTATGGCCATGCCATCCTGAACAAGCCCGATCCTGTCTGATCTTGGAAGCTAAGCAGGGTTGGGCCTGGTTAGTACTTGGATGAGAGACCACCTAGGAAGACCAGGTGCTCTAGACGTTTTTTTTTTTTTTTTTTTTTTAAAAGAGAAGAAGAAAAAAGAAATGGGTCAAGGAACTTAACTCAGCCTATGTAGGTGAGAGGCCACCACGTGAGTTATGGCAAGAACCCTGGAAGTAACTGAGGATCTAACTGCAGAGGATGTTGCCAGATGTTGCTTCATGGCTCTTCAGCCACAGGGTGACAGTGCTCTCAAGCTCCAAAGAGGCCCTACCCATGTCTAGGCTGACCTCTTCTTCCTGGCCAGCCACCGACAGGCCTATCTGCTGAGCAGCCCTTCCCTGTAGCAGTATGGGAACTGCTCTCTCGGTGCAAGAAGCTGCTCCAGCATCAACTCACCCACACAGGTGAGCACCCTTTCTCTGCCCCCAGTGTGGCTGCTGCTTTTGTAAAAGTAGGGCACTGGCCACCCACACAAGGGAGAAACTCTATACATGTCTTGACTGTGGGCAGTTCTTTGTCTTCTCCTCACTATTGGTCAGACACAGGCAGATCCACTTTGGTGATGGTCCCCATGTTTGTGGGTCATGGGGTATCCACTTTTACCAGTGGGCTTACCTGGTATACCACCAGCTGCTCCACAAAAGGGACAAGCCCTACTTGTGCCCTGGCTGCAGCTACCACTTCCACCTGAGCAGGAGCATGTATACCCACAGGCACAGACATATGTGCACAGACTATGAGTACCACTTTGCATACCCCTCTCCGCTGGCGGAACACTGGCTCAGGCACTTGGATAAGCACCACCACCATTTTCTACAATGTAGCACTCACTTTGTTCACCAGGAAAACTTGCTCCAGCACCAGCTCATGACTGTAGGCAGTGCTTCCACCAGAGGCTCCTTTGGCAGACACACACATGCAGGCAAGAAACCTTACCCTTGCCCAGAGTGTGGCATCTGCTCCTCCTACTCTTCCCTCCAACTCAGCAACAGGTGCATCCACTCTGATGAGAGGCCCTTTCCCTGCACTGAGTGTGAGAAGCGCTTCAAGGGAAAGTATGCCCTGAAAGCCCCTCAGTGGATCTATTAGGTAAAGAGGGTGAGGCAGAGACCTTTAGGGCATTCCCTATGCCAGGCTCCTGACCTTCAGGATCAGGATCCCCTAGTTCACATCCACTATTTCTCAGATAAGTTCTAGCTGTGTGGGTGACCTCAGTCAGTGCCATCAAGGAGGTTATGATGGTTGATACCCTTCCTCGTCAAGTGTTGGCCATACACAGTAAGCAGGGGCAGGAAAGGAAAAAAGATGTACAAAGTGAAAAGGTCTGTAGGTGCCTTGAAGTCCCCCTTCAGAAAGGAGGATATAGAGGTAATCAGAAATGTATCAGTGAGTTGCCTCACTACAAAAGGGAATGGGTTGGAACTTGACTATGTGGATCTGTTAAGAAAATGTGAGACTCTGTTACTCATTACCCTCCCCTAGGACTAACACTGCTTGTCCAAGTCTGGCTTTGTAACATCTTAGACAAAGATTAGATTCCAGTCAGTCTATAATGTGAAGTCTATGTGTGCTATAACTGAAAGTTACACTTTCAGGCACCTCCCCTTACTGAGAATGAAACAAGGAGAAAGTAATCTCAAAGCCTTTCTCCCAGTTCAGAGCTGCTAGTGCAATGCAGAGGACATTCCAAGTTCAAATCTCATCCCTGCCTTTATTAACAGGTTTTGGGAAAGCTGTTCAACCTTCTGATAACTGTGATATAAGGATAATCATCCTCGTAAGAACTCTGAAAGGTGAATTTCAACTGAGATCATCTATATCATTGTGTCCACAAGGTGGCACCTAGTGCTTGGTTGGTCCTCAACACCATTTCCCTTTACCCAGAACAGGGTGCCTGTGGTCTTTCTGTAGTTTCTGAGTGTGTAGACTCCCTTGATCTTCTCCACCCTTTTTTGCAGTGGGTAGTCCTCCTTCAGGAAGAGTCCTGCTTGTCTCTGTGCCCAGTGTGAATCCAGGAATTTATACAGAAAGAAACAAAAGGGCTCTGCTCTCTTCAAGTCCTGGATGCTTTTTTCTCCAAAGTGCTTCCCTGTAGGGTAGTAAAGTAGATACAACTTCCTGTTGGAGATTCAAGGTACATGTCTTCCTGTTTGGAGTAATTGACTATGAGTGTTGTAGGGCATGAGAGCTCCCTATACATGCCTTCCCCAACTCCAATTTTAGTTGAGGTTTCCTTTATTAATTTTCACATTGGCCAAATGGGGCCTTTAGAGACTTTAGTCCAGCCTGCCTTTCTACTTCCTGGATGTGGGAAGAGGGCCCAGCACCTTTTCATCTTAGTATTTAATCATCTTATCCATTCAATGTCAGCATCTTTTCCTCGTTCAGTTGACAGCACATCGTCACCTTTTAGGCAAGATGTCTATAGAGGAAGTCTGATTCTTTCCAGCCTCCTTTGTTTAATCACTTTCTTCCTTCCAAAATGAAATGGTTTGCTATCCATTTGTTTTTTATTCCTTTAGGAGCGTATGTTTACATTCTTGTTTTTCCAAATTGAACTATGTAGGCAGAATGAGTAGGCACAAAGCTATCAGTTCATCCTGCAAACTACCAGAGTAATCTTCCTAAAACATGGTTGGAAGGTCATTCACTTCTCTAGCCTTATTTACACCTCCCCAAAGTACAGGATGAAGTCCTCCAATATCTGGTACCAATGTACCCTTTCAGTCCTTCAGTTTTACCGTATGTGTATCTTGTGCTATATCTTTCTCTTCATACTCAGAACTTTCCTGAATTCTGGGCTTTGTGCCAGAGACGTTTATGGCCACGAAATTCAGCTGTTTATTAAACAAATGTATAATGAGCACCACTGCTCTCCCTAAATTCTACCTCTTCAGAGACCAAACTCATTTCCCACATGCCGCATCAATCTGGAAAGTCATTAGGAGGAGGTACTTTGTTTTACTCATTTTGGCAATCTTGAGATTCCACCTGCTACCCCAGTAGTTTGTTCAATAAAGTCAGTATCCTTAAGACAGAGTAGAACTCAATGAAGGTTTACTGCAGTTGTTTATTTTCCTCAGATAAAATCATCTTCCTCAAAATGTCTTACTGCCTATGTTATCTTGTGATTTCCTGTCCCATTATTTGTCTTTATTCCCTGTAAATTTTGGGGTAGTACTTTGCCCATAGTAGGTGCTTTAAAATACTGATTAATGGGTTGGAGAGATAGATGTGTATGTCATAAACTGAGGTAAGAGATGTAGCAAATGGCATATCCTCCTGCCCCAAGTTCCCCTGGGCTATGACATGGAGCTGGTGACTCCACGCCACAACACTTACACAGAAGTGGGGATGGACCAATGGGGTGGGTGCTGGCTGGTTCCATCAGCAATTATCCTTTTCAATATGCCTTTCCCAGACATGCTTATATCATTGTTATTATTAGTTGTGAATTTATATGCTCACTAGACTATAAACTCCATTCAGAGCATGAACCATGACCTATTTCTGTGACACGGCCTCTCCTAACTAACTAGCACTATGCTTTGTACATTGAACAAATGTCATGTAAAAACAAAGTGTAGAGAGATATGTAGGTGACCGAATCTGAGAAGATACCAGCTCAGGTGGATTCTTGAGTTAGCAAACAAATTAGGATGGTGGGAGGGAAGAGTGCTAAGTTCAGTTGCGTGAATAAAGGCCCTGTCAGCCCCGCGTTTAAATCTGTCCCTCTCCTTACTAGCAGTATCCCTTTGAGTTCTTTCTTCATCAGTGGAACTGGGATAACCAGCAGCTCACACAACAGGGGCAAAGAATAAATGATAAAATGTGGAATATGTTGGGTACGGTGCCTGCTCACAGAAAACACCAATGTTAGTTCACTTCTCAAAAGAGCAACAAAGAAATTTCTTATTATCCAAAGCAAAGGCTCTTCTTAAGAAAGGCATGAAAAGGAACCCAGAGGCATCTCAGCCCTCGTTAGCCGGAGTGGCTGCCTCGTTCAAATCTTTCTCTCCCTCAGCTAGGCAGCACTTGCTGGAGAACATGGGCCAGTTGCTGATCCCAAGCCACGTCGCTGCTTCCCACCTCAGAACTCAGTCACCCAACACCAGGGAGCCAGCTTCCTGCCCTTACGCTTCCGTCGGCTTCGTTCAAACAAGCATTCCCCAGCATCCAATCAGAACGATCGATCTTCGGCCACCGCCCAATGAGCGCATGTAATAGGGGGAAAAAGGGCGTGAAGCCCAATCGCAGAGCCATCGTACTTGAGGGCAAAGAGGGTAGGAAGCCGGCATGGCGCTCCGGTCAATAAAATCGATAGCTGGAAGCTGCCTGTGTTCCAGGCCAAGGCGGTACAGTCGCAGCGCCGCCATTTTCCCCGAAGGCATCTTCCGGTACCTTTCCCCCAGGTTCGGGCAGGAGTTTCCTGAATAACAGCGAGAGGTTTTCCGTTGGTCCCAGAGGCGACCGATTCCGATTCCCTCCGGATCTCCCCTAGGCAACCTCGGTCCCGGTCCAGCGGGGGCTCCCAAACCCTGGGGTCCGCCAGGGTCCGAGCTGGGACAGGGAAGGCTGTGGCGCCGGCTTCTCGGGTCCAATGGCGCCGCCTTCGGCTCCGCTCTCCGCACGGGGACCAGGAGAGGCCGGACCGGGTCGGAGAGGGGGAAGGAAGCCGAGGGCGGTGAAGTTCGCAGACGTGGCCGTGTACTTCTCCCCGGAGGAGTGGGGCTGTCTGCGGCCCGCGCAGAGGGCTCTGTACCGGGACGTGATGCGGGAGACCTACGGCCACCTGGGCGCGCTCGGTGAGGCCCGGCCCAGTCCGCTTCCGCGGGGCCGAAGGGATGGAGGAGCTTGTGGGGGTGGGGGTGCGGCAGCGAGTCCGCAGTGTCCAGGGTCCTCACCTGCGACCAGGTTGTGTCTCAGAGGAGGACGGGGCCTTGGCAGGAGGTGCCACTGGTAGATATTTACCCAGCGTTATGTATGAACTGGACCTCTAACTGGTTCTCCTTTCCCAGGGTGCGTAGGTCCCAAACCAGCCCTCATTTCCTGGTTGGAACGAAATACCGATGATTGGGAACTGGCTGCCCTGGATCCGCAGGAGTGCCCAAAGCGGGTAACAGTCCAAAGAAGTGAGTGAAAAATGTCCATTGAGGGCCTGAAACCTCTAATGACTCAGTCCAGAGTTTTGGTGGCTAGGGGTACCCATGACCCACGTCGTAGTGTTCCATTTCCTATGTTCATTTTCACAATTTCAGGGTACTGTTTCTGATGGTGTTGTGTCGGTCCACCACACAAAGATTCACAAATCAGTTTGCAAACTAACCATCTGTAGTTCTCTACTGTGTGAATGCATCACTGAGCTTTTTAAAGAAGCTACCCCTGCCTCCTTTGAATTGGGTTCAAACTGAAAGACCTTATACCTTCCTTAGTTTTCTGTGTTTTAGTTGAAGGGATCTCATGGAGAACAGCTGCCTGGGGTGCAGGCGCCTCTCTCTGCCCTTCTGGGAGGATGACCCTAATCAGTGTAGGACATACCACACTCTCCTCAGATTCAAGCAAGGTTTTGATTAATGCCACTCAGGTAGAAGGGCCCCAGATACACCCACAGGGACAGGTGGGCTGGAGTTTCTGTGCCAGGTTCTCTGAGACCAGGGCTATCTTTCTAACATTCTCATCTGATCATGATATTTCTTTGCTTAAAAACTTTCAGTTTTTGCTAAGGCTGACTGTCAAATGGCTGTCAGTTATATCTAAGTTACTTGGGGAACTTGGTAAAAATACAGATTCCTGGACCCCGTCCCAGAACTGTTTATTTACTCTTATAGATGTCCAGGAACGTGTGTGTTTTAATTGATTTGGATATATGTTTAGGTTTGAGAACCATTGAGTAAAATACAGTCCAAGGTCCTATAGCAGTGTTTCTCAGAGTGTGGTCCTTAGACCAGCAATCATTTTAGAAATGCAAATTTATGGGCCCTACCCCAGACCCGTTGAATCTCAAACTGGAAGTAGGTCCAGCACTGTGTTTCAGTAAGCCATCCAAACGATTCTGGTCACAATAAAATTTGAGAACCATTGCCTTAGGCCTTATGACCTAGTCACTGCCAGCTGATACCTCATTTGTTTCTACTTCCTGCGTTATACTTACCTCTTCAAAAACTTTTAATTTTTAAAGTCAGCTTAATTTCCTAAGAAATTTTCCTCAACTTCTCCAAGATGGGTTAGGGTCGCCTGTAATTCTGTCCATATTTCCATAGCAGTATGTCACACTGAGTTCTCTGTGTCACTAACACTTATTGAAGACAGAGGCTGAGTCTGTCTTGTAACCTGTAACTTGTAACACTGCAATGGGCAGCAGCAGGAGCCCAGTATTTGTTAATCTCTCCCTGTCCCCCTGTAGAAACCAGAACCAGAAAGAAGAATGGAGAGAAGGAAGTATTCCCACCTAAGGAGGCACCCCGAAAGGGGAAGAGAGGGCGGAGGCCCAGCAAACCCCGACTAATCCCCAGACAGACATCTGGGGGTCCCATCTGCCCTGACTGTGGTTGTACCTTTCCTGACCACCTGGCCCTGGAAAGCCACAAGTGTGCCCAGAATCTGAAAAAGCCTTACCCTTGCCCAGACTGTGGGCGCCGCTTTTCCTACCCATCCCTGCTGGTCAGTCACCGGCGGGCACACTCTGGTGAATGTCCCTATGTTTGTGACCAGTGTGGCAAACGTTTCTCCCAGCGTAAGAACCTCTCCCAGCACCAGGTTATCCACACAGGTGAGAAGCCCTACCATTGCCCTGACTGTGGCCGCTGCTTCCGTAGAAGCCGGTCCTTGGCCAATCACCGGACTACGCATACAGGCGAAAAGCCCCACCAGTGCTCTACCTGTGGGCGTCGCTTTGCGTACCCCTCCCTGCTAGCCATCCACCAGCGCACACACACAGGAGAAAAGCCCTACACCTGCCTGGAATGCAGCCGCCGGTTCCGCCAGCGCACCGCTCTAGTCATTCACCAGCGCATCCATACCGGTGAGAAGCCCTACCCGTGTCCGGACTGTGAGCGGCGTTTCTCCTCATCCTCTCGCCTGGTAAGCCACCGGCGAGTACACTCTGGGGAGCGTCCGTATGCCTGCGAGCACTGCGAGGCCCGCTTCTCCCAGCGCAGCACACTGCTTCAGCACCAGCTCTTGCACACGGGAGAGAAGCCCTACCCCTGCCCAGACTGTGGACGTGCCTTCCGGCGGAGCGGCTCCCTCGCCATACATCGCAGCACACACACTGAGGAGAAGCTGCACGCCTGTGAGGACTGTGGCCGCCGCTTTGCCTACCCCTCGCTCCTGGCCAGTCATCGGCGTGTTCACTCAGGCGAGCGGCCCTATGCCTGCAACCTGTGCTCCAAGCGCTTTGCCCAGTGGAGCCACCTGGCCCAGCACCAGCTCTTGCACACTGGGGAGAAGCCTTTCCCCTGCCTTGAGTGTGGCCGTTGTTTCCGCCAGAGGTGGTCCCTGGCGGTCCACAAGTGTAGCCCCACAGTCCAAAACTGTAGCCCTAGATCTGCTATGGAGGGGCTCAGTCAGAAAGGCAATGCCCGTTAGAATGGGAAGGATTGTAAGTTCATTTCATTTCTTAGAGGGCCTGGAGAAGGGAAGGAGAAGCCCTAGGTTATAAGGGCAGATTCAGAACTAAAACCCAGGTCTGTGACACAGACCTGAATTGAGTATATTCTATCACACTGGCTGCCTTACTATGTGTATCTAGAACAGACAGTCGTATTAGGAGAGGTGACATCACTTGGTTCTAAAAGAATTTCTGTGTGTGGTCATCAGGGCTAAAAGTTTTCCCCATCTGTTTTAGAGACTGTCTGCCTTTCTACTCTGCACACAGGGATTACCTGTCCCCTTGCATGTAGTCAGGAGAATCTGATTTATAGGGGGCAGGATCTTTCCCTTCTCTGCCTCTTCCTCCATACTAGGTTTAAATAAACCTGGTTTAGACCCCTTTTTACAACACTCCTGCCAAGTGGTTTTCTACCCTTTAAAATCTCCCTTAATGGGGAGCCCACTACCTCACAAGGCAGGTCATTTCATTGTGGGATAGCTTTGATCTTTAGGAGGTGGTTATGTGCCACATTCTTCCGTAAGCCTTGCCCAGAATATGTTTAATACTCCCTCTAAATGGTAGCCCTTCAGATGACTTAATGACAAGTACTTTGCTGCCATATTTTCAGGTTAAACAGCATAATTTGGTCAATTATTCCTTAAAGACAGGGTTTCAGTTCCACACATCATCTCTCTCCAAGCAGGTGCTGGTGTTTCAGTGTTCCTTTTAAAGGGTCATGTGAAAATAAGCCGGCACCACGTTGTGCACTAGACACCTCCTTGTGCACTTGTTTGACAGCTCTAGATTGCATTGGATTTGAGGGTGGCAGCACTGTATCAGAGGTTTATTGAGTTCCAGACACTTAAATACCTAATTTTTTTTTTTTTTTTAACCCACATGTTGTGCTTCTGCACCCTCGTGTTTGGAAAATTGGTTCCAGTTGGATTTTTGCAGTGAGCTTCGGGAAAAGATTGATCTTAAGTAGAAGCAGGGTAGTTATGCCCTTGCAGCAAAAAGTGAAAATGGGACTGGCTTGTACTTTTTCTGGTGGATTTGGGTTATTTCCAGGCAGCAAGTGGTTGGAAAATCCTTGAGAACTAGGTCTCATTCCTCCCTGATTCTCATCAGAATAAGGAAACATTGGCACAGAACCTACCATGAGTCCTCAGTCAACATTTTTTTCATAAAATGAGGCAAGACCGTTCAAGGAGGGTAGAAAGGTAATTGAATACAAAAGCTGGAAGAGTATACAGTTATCAAGTTAAGTGTATGCCTGCCCCGTCTTGTAAGCTCCAGAACGCAGCAGTGTCTTAATCTTTGATTCACCTCCGTGGTGCCCACCCCTGAGGAGGTGCTCAGTAAAGCTTTACTGAATTGAATGAATAGGCCTACCACTTTGCCTTGGTTAGCTGCACCAAATTGGAATTTCCGAACATGACTTATCTCATTCCAGCAGCTGGAGCGGGTCATCCTACCCCTGTTGCTTCTTCCTTCAGCTCTTGGGATCTCAGCCCCAGACTTGAGAACAGCTAGAGAACACAGCTTTTGTAATTACCTCTGTTCTGGTGTTTAACAACTTACATTGTAACTTTCTTCTCGGATGATGAGCTACCCCAAGGCAGGGGTCAGACCAGATTGGGTCTCATTAAAATGTCTGATGAATGAATTATGTTCCTTGTGGAATTACTGTTTATAAAATGTAAATGTAGTCCCTAGACTACAAATAATTTTTTATGGTTTTGAGGGAGACCTGTCCAACCCTCTCAGAGACCTGTTAGATACCTGCCTAGCCCCCTGTTTTAGACCTGGCTCTTTTCCCTAATTTTATCTCCAAGCTGACCCAACTGTTTCCTAGAAATTTTATAACTGTCTTTGGGCCTGATTTTAATTCATTAAAACTTGAGAGCTGTTGTGGCCAAGTTCCAGTATGGGTCTACGGAGGGCAGAAGTGAGAGACAACTTCCTAGGTTTCCTAAAGTACTTCAGTCCCAGGGGCCATTTGATGATGAGCTGTGATCCTAGCCCTGTATTCAGTGGGCAATGCCAGTATCCTTCCAGTAAGTTCTCCTTTCTGCTTCAGGTAGTTTTAAGTTGATTTTCTGTTACTTGGAATAAAAAAAACTAATACACAGCCCCAATATGGATTAATCTCCCATCTGTCTTCACGCTATGAGCTATGAAGAAAAACAATTGCAATGCTTCTGGGAGGGGCCAGCCACAATATCTTTTCTGATCTCCATCTTAGTTGAACCTTCAGTATTATGTCTTCCGTATATATTGATCCTTTTCCTTCACTAAGAAAACACAAGGTATTCAGTAGGAACTCTTTCAACATTCCACTCCCCACTCTGACTCCTAGCTTAGCAATGTGATCACTCCTGTTTACTTGCTTCCATCCCACCTCAGGGAACTCCCTCATGTGCAATGCTCATTAACAGCTGTGCCTGGATTTCAACAACTGCCCCCTCAGAGACTTTGATAAAATCTATTATTTTTTTCTCTCTCCTCTTAGTTTTATGGTTTCAGAGTTCCTCTCTTGTTTGGATACACACACCCCAGCCTACGAACGTGCTAAAATCTGTCTTTAAAAACAATAAAGAACTTTTCTTCTTCACGCCTATATATGAGCTATGTTCCCTATTTTCAGCTAAATTTCTTGAAGAAGGAGCCTACATTAACTACTCTGTTTATTCTTTGGCCTACTGCAATAATATTATAGCCACTTTGTTGAGCATTTATGATGTACCATGTACTATGTTACATACTTTATATACATTCCAGTTTAACTTTTACAAGAACCCCATAGAGTAGGTGTTAGGAGATGCTCTTCCATGAGTCTCATGTTACTACATATCTTGCTAAGTATGCCAATAATGCAAGGCCCTGTCCTCAACAAATTCTCAGTCTCAAGCCAATTCCTGACCTAGAGCCCCACTGAATGAGGGAAGGCTGGATCCTCTTGATGAAAGACCATGTTACGTTGGCAAAAAAGTGGTAGATCTTCCCAGCCTTTTCCAAATGTACCTGCAGCCATTTGCCAGGGTGGCTGGGCACTGGAGAACTGGATGTTGGGTGTAAACCGATTCTAATTCTTGGAGATCAGGTATGTGTAGAAAAGCGTTTAACTCAGCAGACCTAGGTTGCTTAAACCCTGCAGATTCCAAAGCTCATCTTTAGGACTGGCATTTGGCTCACTCTAGGAGATAAATTCTGAGCTCTTGGAATATTTTGTCTGATTAGAGTGTTTTTGAATGTTGGAGGCCTTGAGCCATGCTGTATCAGTCTGACCAGATAAGTTTATCCTAAGAATGTGATTTATGGTGAAGCCTGTTTTTACTGTGGGGGTTGGGGTCTGAGTATCTGAAGTCAGTCATGTGGGCATCATCCAGTGTCTATATGACTAACCCCG